TTTTTTTTTTTTTTTTAATGTCATTCTAGCTTTTTCAACTATTTATCAAATAAATGTCGTTTTGGATCTTTTGTACATATTTTTCTATTATTACCCTCATTTAGCCAATAAATGCATTACGTCTTTTCATATTCACTCTTCACTTTTTTCTCAAAACATTCATATTTATCTTCATTAAATAAGGTTATTATTGACAAAAAAATATTCTTAATTAGTGTACAACTTATCAAAACGACATATATTAAAAATAGGAGGTAGTATTATTTTGCTTTAAAATTTTAAAAATGTACTTTTTGGTATTGGATAAAAAAATCCTGATTTATTTAAATTTTTTAAGACGAGTCTCGAAAGTATTTACTTAATATTTAAAATAATATTAAAAAATCTTTAGGTATTTAATTTATTTGAGACAAGTATTTTTTAAGATTTTTTTTAATATTTATTGAGATTTCAATAAAAAAAGTCATATACGAATATTCACTCCAAATTCTATCTCCAGAATTAAGATGTCACTGTATCACTTCTAATTCTGAAAATTTTAAAATCTTAAATCTACAAAAATATCAAAATGTCATTCGAAATTCTAAACAAATGCACCTCTTAATATTCAAAAGAGTGTATCAAGTAAAATCAATTGTGTCAGTTGTAACTCATGTTTTCAATAGCCTTTTTTTTCAATGTTTTCAATAGTTTTGCTTAACGTGTCGTTAACACATGTATAAATGTATTGTAAACAAAGGAAATGCTACAGTACCCGTTACGGAACCATTTCGTCCGAATTTGTAATCATTAGATCATCATGTAACGGTTATAAATATTTTGTCTAATGGTTACAGACTCAAACGAAATAGTTCCGTAACGAAACCGTAAAAAAACAATTGCCATTCATCAACTTGGACATAAGTTCTATTAGGAAAAGAATATTTGAATCATATTTTAGTAATAGCAATGCATAATATGGTGTATTTTATTTAATAAATACATTCACGTTAACAAAGAATGAAAGGCATAAAGGTAGTGAAGATATATAAAAAAATATAGTAGTAATAGTCATGAGTGACTTTCTATACGTTTTCTTGTGGGATGGTCCTAATTCGTGTTACTTATTAGCTACATTAAAGAGAAAAGTGATGATGATAACTGTAAGTAGAAAAGCATGCTTGGAGCTTTAAAGCATATCTTTGTTTAGAACTGGTAAGATTCCAATATGATGGGAATAGTATGTATGTATGTATACATTTTTGTTATGGAGCCGTCACCGACTCGACTTATGGAGTCGTCCACACTTATTCACCAATAGTGTAATGACACGTGTCCTACAATAAGTATATTTTGGACAGGTGTCAATATATTAAGTAATCTTAACCATCCGAGAGTTCCATAGAATTTTTGTGTATGTGTATCATACTTTTTTATTCTGTTTTCATACATATTATAACACGTCAAATCTTGGAAAACATTAATCAAACATTACTAGAATAGAATTTGCATGACATTCCACGTATTAATTAATATAAAAAAAATAAAATAATAAACAACATATTACTACAGTAAGACATGACTACATTATATAGTATTATTCTTGGACTAGCTACAACATATGGATTTCATTATTTGTATATTGAAACACATAATTAATATTTCAATATGTGCCATTGTGGAATATATATGAAGGTTATTAAATAACATTACTTAATAAAATTATTCATTTTCCAAAAGTTAACAGGGAATATCAACCAATTTTTTGAGATCCAATCTATTTTTATGAATTCCGTAATATCGGCATTTTCATAATTTTGTAATTTTCTATTAAATTTGAAATATAGATCATTTATATATTAGGTTTTTAAAATAATTTAACCAATATTAAACCACTAATTTATATGTTTTTTCTCCTAATTAAACAGGGATAATTTCACTTATATATATTTTCATCTAATTCTATCCCTCCTCTCTATTTATAATATATGTAGTTAGTTTAAAGGTATAATATTCTTTGTTTTTTTCTCTTGTTGGTTTTAAAATGATCAAATATGACCCAAAAGTCTTACTCATGTGCACGGACACCACTCTCCACCTTCTATTTATAGAAAACCAAATCCAATAAATACAAACATTAGCTTTACCAGCCAATTATCTCAACCAAAACATCATTGGACTACCAAGGATTGACTCAAGTGCTAAGCAGTTTGATGTCGCTTAAGCAAGGTCTCGTGTTTGAGTCCTTGTGAATGCAGAAAATATTTGTTGGGAGACTCACCCACCATTGTCAGGTATGCGACCCGGATCGACCAACGAATTAGTCGGAGCAAAGCTTCGAATACCGTGGCTTGCTACCAAAAAAAAAACTATCCTTGGACTGATCATGCATTTTTCCTCCCTTGCAGCTAAAATATACATATCAAAACACACACACACACACACATTTTTTTTAGGGCAAAAAAATACAACAATCCTAGTAAACTTCAAACAAAGCATTAATTCAACAATATATATATTACACTTCCACTTAGTTAATGATTATGTTAATCAAATCAGGAACCATACAGACAATAACAACAGCACACCAAATTTCAAAGTCTTAGAACCACACAAAACACACAGTTAATTAATTTATTAATCAGCCTAACCAAATTACAAGAAACAAACAGGCATATATATATATATAAATCTCCTACATTCTTGGGTCATTATTACACGGCGCACGCCTTTTCCACGGCCAGAGTGATTTCCACGTCATCGATGAGAATGGGGCCCACCGGAACAATTTCTACAGCGAGTCCATTGCCGAGCTTCACAATATCAATAATCTGATCTTTTAATTCCGGTATTTTTAAACCCTCGATCGCGTTTATTTGGCTTTCGATTTCCGAGAGATGCTGCTGCTGCTGCTGCTGCTTTTCGTGCTCGGGTTTATTTGCATTCTTGTAAATAGTGTAGAGGATCATTTGCAGCACACCGAATATGAATCCCAGAACATTAGGGATCTGTATGAATAATAAATTTGTAAATGCATGTAAATATTATATAACACCAAAGTTAATATAAAGTATATACGAACGTAAATAATGAATGTACTTACGGCAATGTTGTAATCTTTGCGTAATAAGCCGTAAAAGAACCACATAACAGCACTTAGCGTGAGGAAGAACGAGAGAAGAAACGGCATGTATTCCACACTTTTCGTCCGTATCACTTGTCTCTGCAAAAATCATCACACGATCGAAAAATAAATTAATTTTAGTTTCATGTTTTTTTTATAAAATTTACTAATTAAGATAAAACTACATATGAAGAGTATTTCCTTGTGGCCACACTTACTACGACACATAATGGTGCTACGAATACACACAGAGAGAAAACAAGGCAAATCCATCCAACAATATCCGCACGATTCGAGTCTTTTGCTAAGAAGTGAGTTAGCAGCACGATTAAGCCTAGGCCGGTCACATTTAACGAAAGAAGCAGCCTCACGGTTTGGACCTAATTAAACAATCAATGATATAATGTTAGAATAACTATAGTCATAATTATGATAATTAATTATATAAACGAAAATCAAATTAATAGTTTGCTCGATTTCATATATTTTTTTTTCGCACCCTTGCGTTTTTGGTAGCGTAAAAGAGGTAGAATGAAATGTATGCCGATTGGATGAGACAACCGAATGAGTTGATGGTGATGAGTAGGGTCGTGTCCGGTTTGAGAAACGCGTAATATATCCAAAGCATTGCGCTAAATAATCCGATAGTGTAAGGGACTGATTGGAACCCTTCGGTCGATTTTCTCTTGTAGATTTGGTAAAATGTTGGCCTGCATGTTCCAAAACAAGGGAGGGAAAAAACAAAAATAGGAATTTGTGATTAATAATTTTGTAAATTAATAATGTCTACTAATTTATTTATTTTTTTCTAAAAATGGAAAAATGTAAGGAGAAATATAATAATTTAGGAGCTCACATGGGAGACAGGAACACCAAGAATGAGACAATGTTGCCTGCGAGGAAATTAAAAAAAAAAAAAAAATGGAAGACAATATTAAAAGTTAGTCTTGTAAGTTGTAACAAATGCTTCCAAAAATATAAAAATAAAAAAAAAAATATTAGAAATTGTACCTAGAAGGCCAAACACAAAAGCCAATTGATTCATTTCTAGATTTTTTTTTTACAGAAAAAACGAGACGACAATCGATCTTTCTTGTGAAGAATGATCGTCGACTGTATTCGAAAAGCACGAGTATAAGCGAATGTGCAAGCGTCCCTATATATAGGCAAGTTGGTGAATTGAACTAAGCCAATTTTTTTTCCCATAGGGTGTAATATTAGTGTACCATGGTTAAATTAAAGAGTCAAAATTGATAAATTGGTGGGAATTAGGGTGAAAATATCCTTTAACATCTTTCATCTTTACAGTTGTTCAAGACTTGAACAAGTAAGACAAAACCACAAAAGTGCTGCTTTCTATTTGCTAATATCCCAAACTCCTAATTTTGGTCTTCACCTTCTCCTTAATGGCCCATTAGACCCATTTCGGGTAGTTTAGCGGGGCCCATTTGGCATGACATGTTGAGATCCAATTGCAGGCCCGAAAACTGGTGGGGCCCAATTAGGCTTCTTTCTTGCGTGTCGCCCACCCGCCCTTGCAACTGGGCTTTAAGGCTTACAACTCATACTTACGGTTTTGGGTGGTGTTTTATGCTTCCAAGGCTGAGGCCTGGGAGTGCTCCTATTCAGCAATGGCCGATTTTTGGAGTCAAACGCCGGAGCCAATCAAATCGCGCCACGTCATATAGAAAACTAGTCATTCACCTACTAATTTTATATTTTATTTTTTTTTCATATTTACATTTTTTTTTTAATTTTCACTATATATTTATATATTAACTTTGGTGTTTAAAATTGATTTATTTTCAATGTCATATTTTTGTAAAAGTATTTAAAAAATATAGTAAACATGTAAAATTGTGAAATTAAAATAGAAGAACAATCAGTACTTAGACATTTGTGTATAATGTATGTTTCGCTATTTTGTCTCATTTTGGAGATTATTGTCATGGCAAAAAAAAAAAAAAAAAAGAAAGCAAGTGTTGAAATGAACACTTCACCAAGAAATGACTAAACATTTTTTTTTGGAGAGGAAGGATTGAAATGTAGTTTGCCTGGTTAAGAAGCTAAGGAAATTGGGGACTGTTTGCAAGACCAATATACGACGGTGACGGTGGGTGCCGCCAGGGAAAGCCACTCAGGCGGCGGCTCCGAGGCGTTCATTTCCTAGTTATATTGCAAAAAGATAAAATGATGTGGTATTTTTTCGGTACAAAGTAAGGAGGCCGAAGCCTAGAGCCGCTAGATAGTGGTATTCCGTGGATAAGCGACGCCTATGACGTCATGCGTTAACCAAGGCTTCACTTCTATCGGTGGGTCGAGTAATCTCTGACATCCATTAGGACACGAATGAGCTAACGTTGCCAAACAATCAGCCGCATAATTTGCTTCACGGTAACAGTGCACTATGCGCACTTGCCAACCTCGGTGCAGCATCTCCCGAATAGCCAGGACTATAGCGCCATGCACCCCCCCAACTCTCATCCGCCGGCCCCATAACCAAAATGATGTGGTATTTGATTCGTCTTTAATGGCTTTAGGGTTTTATATTGCAATAAAGCTTTTCAAAACATTGATTTTGTGTATTTCGAAGTCAAATAGCAAGTCGAGTTAATTCGTTTAATCATCTTTTTTTTTTGTAATTTTTAGTAAGACTGCAAAACGTGCAACTATTATTCAACCATGTTGTCCGGTGACATAGTTCAGCTCAACATGTGAAACCGGAGCCCCAGTTTGCTTGCAAATTTAAAGAGCCAAGTTAGGTTGAACGACTACTTAGACTTGTCTATCTAATAAGTTGAGTAGATCGTATTCACGATAAACTCAATTAGAGTTTTGATCTAGTTTTAAAATTTACTAAATGAGTCAGAACCAATTTTATACAAGTCGAACTCGAGCTCACATTTTTATTTGTTTATTTAACGGGCCAAACCACACTAGCTCGTATATAAATGAGCATGAGTTCAAACATATAGTACTCCGCTCAAATAATCTAGCTAGACAGATATGTAGAGAAGTTTAAATTTGAAAATAATTGTTGTATATTTAATATAAATTACGCGAACAACTTGATAAATAATCTTGATTAGTAAAAAAAATATCAACTATTATATTTTTTAGCCGTGTTTTATATGGAGATAACCCTCCTTTAATAAAACTTTTATACTATTAACTACTATCTTATACATATGACAAATGTTCATTTTTAATTGGTCTATTACTTTTTCTATAAAAATTATACAGATATTTTTTCTCATCTACCTAAATTTTAATTAGGAAAAACAACATAATATACTAAAATGATGGTTATAAGACGGTGTAAATAGTCCTATCATTCTGATATAGGACATCCTATTTAAGGTTCATATGTCACTCCCTTGAATATGTCGCACAAATATTATGAGATTTAGTAGTAATTACATATGCTCAAATATCATTTATTTAAAAATTGAGTAAATATATAAACTAAATTATGATTCTTAAAAAATTCAATTGCATACTAAGTATTGATGTAATGAAAATTCAAACACATTCAAATGTTTTTCTCGAATAAAATTATTCAAATAAAAGCCATAAACACTTTAATCGCAAGGTGGTTGGTAGAATCGGCCTAATGTCAACACAAGTAAACTTAATTAAAAGCAAGTAAGCTAAATCGAGCACATGAGAAATATAGAATCACAATTAAAAAAAAAAAAAAAGTACTAAGCATCCCAAGACACAAGGTGGAAATGCCACACTCTAAGACCCAAAGTGGAAGTAAAACACGCAAAGGCGCGAACACGTTCAATTAAATAATTATCGCTCGGCAAAGAATCAATCGGACTACTATAATAACTAGTGTGGACGCAATTGGTCATATAGTAGAAAAACTGTAGATAACTCTATTAAGGAAGTCCCACATTCATACAATCTTACTACCTTAATGGAGTTCCTTAAGCCTAAGTATGATCTTTAACCAAAGTCTCTAACATTTATCAAGTCAAATCATGCAATCAAGGGCATCAACATATCTTGACCTCGCAATTAACCACAATATTACATAATTCCTA